TCTACTTATTCACAACTTTCCACTCTTTCTTGTTGTCAAATATTTTCTACACTCATTTCCTACAAATTTATTTTCTTCCATCATTTGGCGTCTACGCTCCTCCCATTCAGAATCCAAGTTGGAACTTGAACCCCAGTTGGAATCCATTGTAGAATTGGTTGAAAAAGTGTAGAAGAATATAGGAATTACAAAGGAATGAGATGATGTTGTGAGATATTGAATCGAAAACACTCCATTTATTGACATTTGAAGATGAAGATAAGAGGTGCCACGTTGACAAAAATCTAATATGAAATCTGGATAGTTGTTCCCGGACCGACATGTGTCACTCGAAAATCATAGTCCAAAAAATTATGGAATATTGTCTCTAAATCGTAGTTTAATTAAATTAAACAATATATAGTGTGGAATGTATGAGTATTGTACCATAGTTTTTCTCAAAATAATAAAATATGAAGGATCCTAAAATATAGCCCTACATGGCTAGAGATGGAAAAATTTAGCCCTGCACTATTCTTTAAAAAATTAATATTTTGGGGGGCTAAATTTTTAGCCCTGGACTACATTTAGCCCTATGGCTGGAGATGGCCTAAGGGCCACATGCTTCAAAAAAAAAATTAGTGGACAAGAACTACCCAAAAAAAAATTCAATGGAAATGAAATTCAAAGATTTTTTTATAAAGCAATTGGGATCACAAGTTTCGCCACAAAAAATGGGACAACAGTGTCACTCAAAAAAAAAATTGAAATGAAATTCATTATAACTTTCGCATGGGTATTTTTGTAATTAAACAAAATAAAGAATTAAAAAGAGAAAGACGGTAAGGATCCACTCAATGCATAAATTTCAACCGTCAATCACTCTTTCAATTTTTTTTCTACTCTGTCTGTCCTACCTACCATCTCAAATGTTGTTCAGTCTCAAATGTTATTCAATCCACATTGAATAATGCGAACGTATTTGAATAAGGGTAAAAAATGTTCATGACTTTTCACCTAAGAATGGTCAAATAGCATGGGACGAAAAAGATCATGGGTCATGGACTAATTAAGGAGAAATCGAAGAAGAATCGGTTCTTGGTCCAAGAATTCAGTGCTGATTCCTTCTGGATTGAAAGCCTTTTCTTCCCATCATCCCTTGCAATATGCTATAGAAAAGAAAAAAATTGCAATTGCTTGGATATTAATTAAACTCTCAATCAAGTGTCGACAGAGCACATGGCCATTGGTTACCAACACCTTAAGATATGGGATCCACCATCCAAACTCAATTTCTTTCCTAACAAATTAAAGGGGTTTGGACCAAACATCTCTACTTTTTAAAGGCGATACCTGTAATGTGTGGCCATGTGCACTTTCACAATTTATTCATAGCATAATTAGTCAATTTAATTATGTACCATATGTAGCATATGTGGATTAGGTTAGTTATGTTTATTTTTGTTTATTGTCAACGTTAAAAAAAAGGGAGGGGGGAAAACTTACAAACATGAGTACTATGGAGACTTGAACCCATGACCATTTGGGAGCACACCAAAAGCCTGAGTCAATCCAAGTAACACATAGTTACCCTGCAACTTACACACACAGGTACCATTTGTATTAAGTTAGTTTTAACTAGGTACCTGCCCCTTGCACCCGAATTCAAATTAGGAGCACTTCTACCCATTTGCCATGACAAAGGGCAAGGGCAAGTAAGAGTGGTTATTGTTCACGTGAATAGTATCTACCCTAACAAATTTTCTTTTTTTCTTTTTCACCCATTGCCATGACAACTCAAGGCAATTACTATTCACATGAGATTAATTTAATTTATACGTATGAGATTAATAAATAAAAAATTCCTAGGTATTTATAAAAAAAAAATTCTAAAAATTTTGGTTTTTTAAAAATTTAATTTAATTTTTTTCTTCACTAGCTTCAGTGCCCTCAGGCAGAGCATGTCCAGCCTTGAGCCAAGACTGGGCAAAAGGCCCCCCAAGGCAGCCCAAGAGAGCTCCAGCAGGAGAAAAATGGCCCGGGCAAATGGTGGGTCCCATCAAACTGGGCAAGCCCACGGGCAGATCTTGCCTGGGCTGCAGCCCGAAGGCACTGATGTTACGCTGACGTCAGCGAGTAAAAAAAATTCAAAAAAATCCAAACAATTTTCAATTTTTTTAAAAAAAATACCAAAAAATTATAGATATTTTCCCTATAAATACATAACAATTTTATTCACTTTCTAAATTGTTTATATTTTGTTGCATAATCCTTTTTTTTTTTTGTCGCCCTTGCCCTAGCCTTCCAAGGGTGGAACCAACTAAGGCAAAGCTGACACTATTCACATGAATAGTGGCAGCCCTTGCCTTGCCTTAGCCTTCATGGGTGGACATGCTCTCAGGTAACAACTCAGACTATTCTTGCCTTCAGGCCTGCCCAGTCTTGATGGAGCCCACCATCTACCAGGGCTGGATTTGATTAGTGGAGTGTGTTTTTGCAGCCCAGAGAACCTTTTGCCATGACAATCCAAACCGGTGAAACTACTCTAATACTTTTCTCAGAAATTAGAATAATTATCACATCACATTGTCAAAACAAAACAATAAAATTACGTACAATATGTACATTTTGGATTTCATAGTTATTCCTAGTGCCAAACTTGTACAAAGTTTCTTAGTTCTCTTTTAATTAGCAAAGTAACTTATTTGGCAAAATTTAAAGAAGAATTTGAGAAATGACAAGGAACTTTGAAGATGAACTTTGGAAGCCCAAAGTCTCATGAGTTAGTAACACGGTAACACCTCAATAGGTTATTTCACAAATCCCGCTTGGCGCCTGGTTTTCAGTGCATTGCCCAGTTCAACAAATTGCTAAGCCTGGTCTTCACTGCGCAATTCGACAAATGGGACCAAATTATTAGAAACAATTATAGGATTTGTGGAACACATATTTCAGCAGCCAATAAGAAGATGACATGTGAAAAAAGGAGAATTCCTTAGGTCAATGAATCAGGATTTATCTGCGAGATCCACGTGTTGCCAAGTTGACATCAATTCTACGTGGCAAAACCTTATTAGCTCATAAAAAGAATTTTTGTTTTTGCTGGAATCTCATAAAAGGAAGTGTTGTCCCATGAGATTGAAGCGATCTTCTTCAAACTAATAAGCAGGAATTATCCATTTTGACACCAAAAAAAAAGTAGTATGAATTATACATGGTAGACAAAAATCTTCCAATATTTAATTACGTTCAAGTTAATAATTAATTAATAGGTGAGGGGTGTTTTGTGAAAGAGAGAGGGGTGTTTGGATGTTGAATTTTTTGAATTACATTTATTTTATTTTCTAAAATATTTGGTATGGTGTCATTTTTATTTCAATTAACAAGAGAGGAGTTGAATTTGTATATTTTTTCAATATTGAGAATAAAATTTCATGTTTTTAAATGAACAACACAAAAAAATGAATAAATAAATTTCATATTTATAAGAAATTACCCAACCCAATCTTACCAACTAAATAATTAGCCAAACAAGTCATTTTGAGTCCCCTTATTTCAAAATCCCATCATTTTAAAATCCCCTTATTTCAAAATCCCCTCACTTTGAAGTCCCATCACTTCAAAATGGGGTGGAATCAGTTCAGTTATCGATCCAATTCCACGCATTTGAGTATCGACCGACATCTTTGGTATAGCCCAAAAACAGAACTGTCACCGCCCGTCGTCAATTTGCCTACTTTTGGTTTCTCTCGGTTTCGGAATCGGCGGCGATCGATTTCAATTCTGCTGTGGTCAAGGAAGCTTGTCGTCGTCTTCAAGACAAGTCATTTTCGACAAGCCCCTTACCCACCCATTTATTTTTATATGAATAAATACCCCGTAAATACATTAGCAATATGATGTTTCAACAAGGAATCATGTTGGCATAGTGGAAAATGGTTGAGTGTGTAAGTTGGACGTGAGAGGTTTAAAACCCCTTATTTCCAACTTCTAACATATTTAACATTTTTTGCTGGGACTACTTGCGGTTTGGTTTGGTTCACTGACGGTCGATTTGTCGGGTTATCGGGTGAAAATCCTAGCCCTACTTCAAAATACCTCATCCAAACACACCCTTAAACAATTATAACTTTATCATGATGCTAACGGAACTTTAGATGAGCTTAATGATCGATCATGCTGGGTGTTGTCAAAAAATTTCAAGCAAGCGTTCAACATGCAAGAAGTATTATTGTTTTCAGCTTTATTTATTCTTATTGCTTTTCTCATCCAACAGTCCATGGACCACTATATCTTATGAGAATAAAATTATCATCTGGTTTAGCATTTTCTAATATCAAATAATTAGATTTGTGACACTTATAATGCTTTTCGATTTTGTGACTTAAAGATACATAAAACGTATTATAGCTTCCAAAAATTTGAAATTATTGAGATAAAAGAAGTGGTGTATATTTGTAAATTGTTGAAGAATGAAAAGTACCACATAAAAAACTTGACAAAATAAAATACGATATATATATATTATGTGGTTCCACTACTAATTTTACAAAACCTTTTTTGGCACAAAAAATGGTAGATGGAATAATTACAGGTGGATATGTGAACTGAGGAGGAGCCACACCAAACCGAATTGGAAAAAAGGGAAAAAAATAGTTTGACTTGAACCGATTTTGTTCTTGAATTTTACCACTTAAAAATCAAACCGAATGGAATATATAATGTTAATTGTATTAGTGTTGTGAACCCTAAGTGCAAACTATGAAACTCAAACTCTTACAAGAGAGGGGGTCTCTCATGCACCCACACAATCAAGATTTCATGGAAATTTAAATTTAGGACCCTTTTTTTTTTGTTAGACCGTGATGGCAAATTGTTATTTATCACTGGGCTAGACCGCGATGGCAAATTGTTACCCTTTTAAACGCTAGGCTTTAGCCGTTGCAACTACGCAAACTTCCCATATTCTCCGAAATTTCCATGTTGCCCCTACCGACCAACGCGCTCAAGTCAAGGTCACAAAATAAGCTCACATTCCTCCGTGTCATTGTCTTTCTCACATTCAAAACACCTTCTCCTTCCATTCTATTTAAGAAAATCTGAGAGACTTCAATTCGCAATAACGTAGCTCAGATCTTCACACCCACCCATACCCACAGGTATGGCTTCTTCTCTGCCCATGTATATCAATCTCTGAATTCATTTACGCTGCAATGGAATTAGGTTTTGATCTGCGTTTCTGTCTCCAATGCTTTTGCTTCGCGTCGTGTTTGTTAATGCATCATTGAAGCATTTGTTTGATATCGATCGTTATTTCTTTTTGTGTTTTTGGCTCAGTTTTGAGTTGCATTTTATCTGATTTTGTAAATTCTGCGTGGATCTGATTTGATCCGTGTTTGCTTGGTTTGGTTACGCACTGTTTGGGAGACACTAGTAAGCTCAAGCCTTTTCCTTTCTGTTTAACCATTTTTTGGTGATTGATTGTGTTTCTTTTGAATTTCAGCCTACATTTGTCAGTTTGGTGCTCGATCTGAGTCTCCATGATGCTTTAATATGTATTCATGTTGAATGATTCGATCAATTCATTTCTGTTTTTGGTTGAATTTTGGCCTTTCTGTTATCTGATTATGCTAATTCTTCTTCGATCTCAATGGTAGATATGATTGGTGTTGAATAGAATCCTGAGAAAAAAGGAGGGAAAGATTGACGATGAAATTTTGAATTTTTTTTATATATTGATTAACTTGCAAAGATAAATCGCGAAGCTTGAGCATTAGATCAGAACTAGAACTTTTATGTTTGATTTGCATACCGTCTTCTATTCTGCACCCATATTGCTTGTTGGATCTGTGGTGAATTGAGTGAGTGAAGGTTTTGAATTGAATGATTTGAAATTTGTAATGGGAAAGATCTAGTTCTGATAAATTTTACATTTCTTTGGACAAATTTAATCACTTTAATGATCAAATCTATGCCTTTTGTTTTGCTAATTTAATATGCATATTTTGTTGTGAAGAAAAATACAATTTAAAATTTGTTTCTGACTTGTATGGCCTCTGCTTGTATAGATCACACAGTTTATAAGATTTGTTAGCATGTTAAATTTTTTTGCACATTCAAGAAAAAGCATTGATTTTTTTTATTTGTTTGTATACCTAAAATTTTATAATTGCAATGTTTTGGTTTGTGCAGATAGGTAATCAGACACATTTAGTTGGTGCCCATGGGAACGGTTGTTGATGCTGCTGCAAAGAAGGTATACCTTGGCTTTTCTTTTTAGTATTAAAAGAGATTCTGCAATTACGGACTGCTTCTTCTGGAAATTTTGTCCAATTTAAGTTGATATTGCATTCTTTGGTCTGTTCAGTGCTAAATTTACTGAGAAATGAAATGCTTTCATTTAGTCTTCTCCTGAGAACATTATTCTGGATGATGTTTGTTGTGGTTTCAATATATATACATATTATATGTTTTTTATTTGTTCTGATAAATACATCCTACTGCAGGAGGCTAATGGAAGCTTAGCTGATCTGAACCCTACAGTTGTTTTTGTATTGGGTAAGAAAAAAATTAACTTGAACTAGTAGTATCCTAATCATCTTTGTTTCTCTGAGATTTATAGCTGTTTGCTACCTGAGAGAAGATGTACTAATCTTGTTCATGATTTTAATTGCTGTTTTTGCTTTTTTCTTAATAGTTCAGGGAAAACATGTGCATGATTTAAAGTCCTATCTCAAAGCAATGATCTTTAAGTATGATCGATAGGCATTTTAGTTTTTATTTCAATTTACCCTGGTATGGGAAGACTAATTACTGAAATGATCATTAGGTTTGTTTACTAGCGGTGTTTTATTTATACATTCTCTTTCTGTTTTTTACTAGCTATACTAAAGGTTCCAGCCATTTCTTTGGTACCACTCCTCTCTTCTTTTGAAGTATGTATGGTGTCTTTTACCTGTTGTTTCTTTTGATTGCCTAGGTGGCCCTGGCAGCGGAAAGGGTACCCAATGTGCAAACGTTGTTCAGCACTTCGGGTATACCCATCTCAGTGCTGGTGATCTTCTACGAGCTGAAATCAAATCTGGTTCTGAAAATGGGTATGGCATATCTGTCTTATAATCTAGACAAATGTTCATTTTGAAATTATCTCTCTTTACGGAAATATGCATCTTAAGATTAAGAAAGATGCTCCAAATGTAATTAAGATTGAAGTCTTAAAATCTCACACCCTCACACACATATGCATTTAATTCCTGGGATATTTCACTAGTTGTGTAGTCTACTATTTGCGCATGATAGTTATCTCATTTTATGGTAGTGGGTTATACGATGAGTTCAGTAAAAGATATCTCCAGTTTCCATGGATTCATTGTCAAACAATAGCCCCTCTTATATAAGATGAGGTGTAAGGTTACTCAATGGGTAAGGTTAATAACGTTGAGGATGGTTGCCTTTGTTGTGTACACTGGTCCTTGTATCACCATTTGATTAAGAATGAGCATACTTGGATTGTAATTAGTCTTTTCCAATTAAGCCAAACACTAGAAAAAGTGTTTGCACAGAAGTGTCTTATTTTATGCCTTTTAGTTGAGAAATGATTGCAAACTTAGGCTGGACTTTGTATTCCCATGAAATTGTTTACATCTCTTCATGTAACAACACTGACAGGACCATGATTTCAAATATGATTAAAGAAGGAAAGATTGTTCCTTCCGAAGTAACAATTAAACTTCTTCAGCAAGCAATGCTGGAAAGTGGTAATGACAAATTTTTGATTGATGGGTTTCCTCGCAATGAAGAAAATCGTGCCGCATTTGAGGCTGTGGTAAGCCCTTTGCATACATTTTCCTCATGATTTTAACTGTAGCTTTTGGTAATTGAATATCTTTTTTAAAATGATTGATTTACTTGTTGAAGCCAATGCCAAAACTTTGTTAATGGTTTTGCAGACTAAAATCGAGCCTTCATTTGTCCTGTTTTTTGATTGTTCTGAAGAGGAGATGGAGAGGCGCCTCTTGGGTAGGAACCAGGTTGGAAAACTATGATTTCTTCTTGTAAAGGATTTTGTATACTGTCTTAGTATGATGATATTTTCTATTTTTGGTTTTCAAAATAATTATGTTGATTTTCTGATTTTTTTTTTTGGTTGGGGGCAATGAAGGGAAGAGAGGATGATAACATAGAAACAATAAGGAAGCGATTTAATGTTTTCCTAGAGTCTAGTCTCCCTGTGATAGACTACTATAACTCCAAGGGCAAAGTTCGGAAGGTAATTTTTCGATTTGTTTTACTTTTCTTGGGTTTTATGTCACTACATTGTATGTTTAGTTATAATAATTCGTGTTAACCATATGTTCTTGCATGTTTGTTGAGATCACTGTTGTTTTCACCCTCAGATTGATGCTGGAAGGCCTGTCGAAGAAGTTTATGAGTCAGTAAAAGCTATTTTTGCCCCAAAAAATGAGAAGGTAATGGGCCATTGCCATGCTTTGATGAAATGCTTAATCTTGTTCTGGATGTAATGGTTTAAGATATGATAAAGGGAGTTTGTAGATGCTGTTCAATGGGAGTGTATTGTCTTCCTAGTGTGGTTTTGTAAATATAATTGGTGAACTAAATGCTTCAGATAGTAAGCTTTATTGGCAGCCTATATTGGGAAACCAACTTCATTAGATAACAAAAGGGGACATTTGAGTTTAACATTTTATGAAAGTGAAGGAACTTTTTAGAATTATGAATGACCTAAGTATGATGTAGTTTGATGTTGACATATGTTTCCTTATCAGTTATCACCAATTGTAAGCACAATTATGGCAAACCAAATTGATCATGTAAGCACAATCATCAGAATGTAGCTACAGTCAGAAGCATAGCCTGAAACAATGCAACTTAGAACATAGTAGGAACAGCATATGTGTGCATATGCCTGTAGTTGGAGGTTGGGATTTAAAACAATTGACCAGAAATATTTGAGGGCAACTGGCTAGCTAAAACCAAACAGGAGGGGTAAAAAAAGGAACTGAGAGATTTCTCACACTTCAGATCAAGGGCAGAAATTTATTTGACATGTTTTGATATGGTTTTGAATTTGAAAGTGATGGGTTGGGTAAAAAACAATGAACTGCCTGTAAAAATAACTTGAACTGTACCAAGAAGAGAATTTCAAGATATGCTAGTCTCTTTTTGTAATTTTCTTTCCTGTGGAATCTTAGCATGCAGTTGCTCATCTGTACATTTTCCCTTGTCATGGACGTTAACTTGAATTGCACCAAGAAGAGAATCTGGATATGCTAGTTTTTCATCATTTTTTTTTTCCTAAATAATTTTGTTTGCCTGTGGAATCTATCATGCAGTTGACAAAGTGCACATTTTCCCTGTCATTGATGTTAACTTTTTCGGTTTGCAGGCTGATTAATTGCTGTAAGTGTGTCCAAGATTTCAGATCTTATGTCTATTGAGGTAAAACCTTCATTTTGAACCACAAAAATAGCAGTTTACATGTGGTGATATCACCTGGTTTTAATTGTGTGCAAAACCTTCAATTTGCACATAAGCACACATTCTCTTTTTACATGTTACATTTAGGACCAGGAATCTCAAAATTAGATATAGAAATAGAAAAAGAATGGAAGATGTTCTCATGTGACCCCACATGACTGGAATAAAGGTATGTTGATGATGGTGGGTTTTCCATTTAGGACCAGGAATTGGAACTATTCGGGTCACTTTTAGGGTTGACAATATTAATTGAGATTAAAAGTAGACACTCAAGTTTTGTTTGTAATCTTTGGCCTAACAAAAAAACTGTGTTCACAATCAACTGCTTGGCAAACTGAGATGCCTGAGCAAAAACATGCCGCCGACATTCAAATGCCTGTGTTTAATTCTAGTAGCCTGCACCATCACACACACCTCCACATGCATGCACACAGGCACTCTCGCTATTTAACCTATGCAAATGTTGACATGTTTTTGTCTTTCTATGGTGTCTTTCTCTCAGGTGATGCAATTGTTGGCTGCATATATTGTATTCTTTTGAGGGTTTTATTCTTGGTGCTTACATATTATAGAATGTATTCCAGACACTTGAGGCGTATGCCTCTAGTCTTATATTGGTGATTGTGTTCTAATTTTAAGATTTATAGTAATAGTTATGGCAATAATCTTCTGTTTCAAGTGTTACAAGTAGCTATGCATCCTTTACCCCCTTTTGCCTCTTGTGGGATAAAGCGCTCGAATTAGAAAATTTGATGCAAGACAGCAATACAAAGAGGAAATGATTGGTTCTGGGTAAAGTTCAAATTTTAATTCCTTATATCGTTAAAGAGAAAAAGTAGATTAAAGTTAAGCTAATGGTTTTTAAAGTAACACTTAAACTGATGTACATGTTAACTTTAACACAAAAGTGAAACTAAAACTGATTCTCACAGGTTCTAAACGAACATGATTCCATTCTCCTTAATGGTATCAAGAACAATTCCAAGCCTACCCTCAATCCTCTCATTGTTTTTGGGCTCAAAAGACATTGCAAATACATCAGCATCCTTGCACCTCTCTGCGATCAGGTTTCCTATGACTCGACACGCATCGTTGTCGACAAGTGACGTCAACGAATACCTCAAATCCTTGGAATTTGTGCTAGCCACGGATATCACTTTGCTGGTACCCCGGTGCATCACTTTGGCATGGATAAATCGTTTTGAAAAGAAAACATCCAGTAAAAATGGCCTCATGTACATATCTGTCCTTTGCGACCATGATTTCCTATTAGGTCTTTTTGCAGCCTCACCTCGAGATCTCCGGGTCCATGCAGCTCGAATGAAGGAATCCTGCGAAACAAACAAGAGCACTTTGAAACCTTTTCCTCCGTTTCACTGGTTGAAAGTTTAACTGAGGAAGAATCATGACTCGTACAATCTAAACTAGCCCTGATGTAGGCCATAATAACTATAATACAATTTTAAGACTTCTACTTTGTTGTAACCAGGGAAAACAAAGACTTTCTACTTTGTGAAGGGGGGATAGAACCAAAAATTGGAAAATTTATAAGTACAAGCTAAGTATGTCCTTCAGTATAGTCATGCAATTTTATATCTTGAGGTGCACAAAAACAAACCCTAAAATAGGCAATTAAGTCTTGCAAGGTATTCAGAATCATAACTCATTGAAGTCACTTCTAAATGAACCCTTAAAAAAAATTGAAAGAATTAATGTAATTAAAGTGATATCAACCTAAAAGAACTTACATTCTCCAGTCCAAAAAATAAACATTAATTTCACAAATTGACAGCTAAGCTTCTACTGTTAAGCACAACATTATTATGTCATATTAATCAGTTCCTCTTGCATTCAAAAACTGAATAGTTGAATTCCACCATAGCTCATTGTCCAAAAGATTAAGCTCAATGCCAGTCGGGTATAGCCCAGTTGGCTGAACTCTTCCACCTCCACCCATGTGGACAGAGGTTCGAAACCCTTAGACAACCAATGAATATTTGTCGTAAACCCCCCTTCCCCAATCACTTGTACAAAAAAAGATTAAGCTCAAACGTGCCAAAACCAACAAATTCCCTTTAGCTACGCAGCACAATTAGGACTTTATGAAGTAAATTGGTTCATAACCATCATAAACATAATGCGATAATTTGAAAACTAGCCAGTCTTCAAAATATGACAGCCATAAAAGAAACCACTACTTATCATAGCTAAGTCCAACAATCTCCCTTAGGGTTCACAGTTCCCACACCTTTTATTCTCCTAGTCATTTCAGCAAACACCTTAGCTACATCAATTGAAATCGAAGTGGGCATCCGCGAAATTATAATCCTTCTACACAGCACATAGCCATTCTATAAGAAATCAAGTAAAATATCTATTTTTTTTATACACAAAATAGAATTGGGTCAGTCGCTGTTAATTAAGGTGACAAAAAAACCTACGGCTTTCTCATCACATTTAAAACAGTCATTTGGGTTACCTACAACAGATGATTCAGTCCATATGCATGCAATCACAACTTCAGAAAATCAATGTTTATGAACAATTCCCAACATTTTTCTCATGATAAATATTAGGATTAAACAAGAAAAGTAAACTTAAATAAGACAAGAAGTAGAAAGTGAAAGTGAAAGAGAAGTAATGGAAACATGCCTTGTTGTGCGTGTGAAGGGAACTAGGTGGGGCTGTGATGCAATTGAAGGAGATGCCAAGCTTGGGAAAAGAAGATGCCCATGAGAGCCGAGCGGGTTTAACTGAACCACAGGGATTTGACAAAAGAGGAGGAGGAGCTGATATGCAGGCCATCTTAAGTTTTTGTTTTTGTTTTTTTTAAAGAACTTTCCTATTAAGAGAGACGATAACCTTAAACTCACACAACCCGAAACCTTACCTCGAAAAGCAATTATTCCAAACCACTAGCATTTAAACTCATTGTCGCCCTTTGTGGTGCTCGAACAGACGACCGAAACGGAGGCCTTGCGCTCTGCCAACCCTAAGTTCTGAATTCTCTACTTCAGAACCCCTGAAGGAGGTAAAATCATTTTGCGTCTATTACTCTATTAGTTTCACAAAGAAGTTTCCCACATTACCACAGACACAAGTGAAATTCGAAAGCGAGAGAGAAAAAGAAAAAGGAGACGATGAACGACTCGGACTCTGAAATCTCCTCAATGAAACCCAGCAACAATAATAATGCTGCCAAGGTCACAAAGCCTCCTTTCGTACCAGCCAAAGACGACACCAAACCTGTGCTTCAAGACCCAGTCAGTTCTCTCTCTCTCTCTCTCTCCATACAATACAAACACGAAGGTTTTTCTTTTTTCGGTTTGATTTTTAATATTTGGACTCTTTTAATTTGTAATTTTTTTGGTGGTTGGTAGATACTGAGGTCTGATCCGATTGAGACAGAGGAAGCTGTGCTTCGGTTGCCTACACTTCCTATTAAGGCCATCCCCAATGGTTGGGGCTCTAAAAAGGGTTTATAGAGCCCCATTTAGAGCTCCGATGGAATCTTTGGGGCTCTAAAGGAATCTCTCCCACAATGGGGGGCTCTATATTTTTTTTATGATGTAATTTGATTTACATGGTTTTTTTTTTCTTTGGTTAACTATTTTACTTTAATGTTTATTCATGTTATGTTAGTTTTTTTTTTTTGAACATTTCAACAAAAAAAAATCAAAATTTGGACAAGATTTGGAAATCAACATTTATTTCATAGATACAATGGGTTGGACAAGTTAACCTGAATAACTGCACGAGGTTTTAGTTTGATATTAAAAAAAAACCCTTTTTCTTATGTTGTTCTATAACATTTCTGTTCCACTGAGCTATCTGGAGCTAAGCTTTTTTGCCTCATGCAAAGAACGTGGGCCAGCAGCAAATCAACAATCAAATTGAAGGCAAGTATGCCTTGTACAGTCGCAGGCAAGTGAGAAATAACACAAAAGTGGGCTGCAGCTTTTTCAATTGGTGGGTCGCACTCGGTTTCAGGGGCTTCAACCAAGGTCACACATTTAGCTACTGCTCCGACTGGGCTTTAAGTTTTAGATGCCTTTTTGAAGAGAGTTTGTATATATTAGAGCCTTGTGGTGGTTGAGCCCCAAATAGAGCCCCCATTGGGGATGGCCTAACAGATCAAAAAATACTCAACCCAAAATGATTTGAGATGTTGTTGTTACTCTACTCTTATGGAGAATGAAATTGTACTTTCATGGAGAATGAATGATGAAGTCTGAATGATATCGAATGGTTCAAGATTTCCCTTTATATTACCTTTTCTTTTTCTTCTTATTAATGTAATATTTCTGGGTGAAAAAGCTCTTCTTAATTCCAGTGTTAATTGCCATTTAATTTTTGTTGGGCAAAACCCGGAGTTATACATGTTGATTTTGCATCTTCGTTTGGTAGAATTACATTTTCAATATCTTTTTTAGTCATTTTATATTAGGATAAATTAATAATTCAATAAATAGTTTAGTAATAGGGTGTATTCAGTTCATTTTAGGGTTTGTTTAACAGCACCATATAATACTTCAACCCTCCGTTTGGATGGGGGAAAATAATTTGAGATTTAGCTAAAAGTTGGAAATTGAAGAGGATAAATTGATATTTCCATTATTTGGCAACATAAACATGGAAATTATTAAATGATGCGTGGAAAAAATCATGAAAATTGAATATCAAGATTCCCAAATTTAATTTATGTCAAAAGAGACTTCATTTCACAATTTCTATTGAGTAGGAATTCCTTTTTTTACAATATTTTTTGTCATTTACAAAATTCAACATACATAAATCCAAAAATTGAAATTATTACTAAATTCCATCATTTAAGAATTCTATGCAATTTTCAATTTCTTCATCCAAAAAGCGGGCAAGTGATGAAAATTAATGCCTTATTCATCTAAACAATTATAAACACCCTATTGGACCGCTCCATTGAAGAATACATGCGAAAGTAAAGTGAAATGTACAAAATCGATAAGACAGATAGAGAAGAAACATGTCTTCTTCATTGGTTGAAGATCAAAGATTCTAATGCAACTACTACACCTCCAAGTAGAGGTGTTAAATGGGATGGGCCGGCCTAGCATGGCATGAGCCCAGCCCGTTTAAATGAGGCACGGCACGAACACGAATATTAATGGGCCATGCTAGGTCCAATGGACCGGGCTAGCCCATGGCCCGAGCCCGCTTCAAGCATGGCCCATTTAGCATTTTTTTTTTCTTCTCAAAAAGTCAAAATGCAATAATTTGACATCTAATGTCATTGTTTATATGTTTTTTTTTATTATAAAATAATCATAAAATATATTTGATGTCTTTCATTTTAGGGAAATTACTTGGGTCCTTAATTAATTAAACATATCAACTACAAATTAATTAAACAACATTGGACTTAATATCTAATCAATACATATGACATATACGCTTCTTTTATATCAAAGAAAGACATTTCTTCACATATAAAATAATAAGTTGTTTAAAGATAAAAAGTTGAAATGGACTTTGTGGAGTTGGACACTTTTTGCCCTCCGCCCCTTCATATTGTTTGGATGTTTGATTGATTAATGTTTTCAAATAGTTCATCATTTCTTGCCTCTAATTATATTTTTAATGTTTATAATTTGAATTATCTAGTGGAAAAAAAATCAAGTTAAAAAAATTCAAATTAAATGGGTTGGTTCTTGGGCCCGAGTATGGCACGAGCATGAGCACGGGCACGACACGAGCTCGGCCTGGCCCGTTTGAATGTGAACATGGGCTTTGGGCAGGGCCAAGATCAATGATTTTATTAAATGAGCCGGCACGACACGACACGACACGATAAATTAAATGGATCGGCCCGACACGGCATGAAAATGTTAAAAGCACAAGTTTAAATGGGACGGGCCGGCCCAGCACGGCCCGTTTGACACCTCTACCTCCAAGCCTTAACACTTAATGAAGGTGATAGATTGCATAATTTATGAGCGTTGTCATGTCAGCAAATAAGTGTGTAAAAATCCGTTCACTTTTAATGAAGTTGATAAATTGATCAGTTTGAACCGGAATGGTAAACCTTAATCATATCCAACATGCCCATAATCAGTTCTGGTAAACCCTGATAAGTTATGGCATGCTCGAATCATGTTTGGTAAACCCTAATTAGGTTCGACAATATTCGAATAAGGTAGACAAGCCTAAGCCAACTCCAAAAATATTGTCAAGATGTCATGCCCAAGTTCGTTCACAAGGAATTGGGAAGACACCAACATGTCTAGACCTCCCAAATCCTTTTCGTATGCCATCTTTTAGGCCTCATCATTTGGCCCGCGGGCTCATGGGCCGATGGGGGTCAACTCGACCCATCGAAAAAATGCCTAGCCCGACCCGTTATGGGCTTTGAGATGGCTCGACTTGACTTGGACTGGGCTGGGCTTGGGCTTGAGTGTCTGAACCTCATCCCAGCCCATAGGCCCGGCCCGATTAAGCCCAAGAAAGCCTGACTTGGCCCATTAGGCCCGCATACATATATAATTATGTATAAATAAAAGTTTAGGATTATGATTATATCACTTAAATCACATATATAATTTGTTTAATTTCATTTACTTTTCTTTATTCATTCCTAGTTTATAATTGGATGATTAGCACATTAATTTGTGTCAATTATTAATACAACAATTATATATATATATATAAATAAGATGAACAACATATCATATCACGAAACATAATCGTACCACCAAATATAATCATGCTTTTCTTGAACATATCACCAAACATTTGCATATTTATTCATACCATCCTTTAAAAAAAATATTTTTTTGATACTTATTATTTTTTAAAATTATTTCTTAAAATATATTATGGTCTAATTATGTGATAACCTCAAAAATAATACTTGGTTTTATTATTTTTGTGGAAAATCTTATTAAGTTGTGTGACTTTATTGGGTGTTTTATGAATTTCGTTTGATGTAAAAATATTGGAATTAAGTGAGTTTAATCTCAAATTTGGACTAAAATGCCCTTATGATTAAGTTTATGATTTTTTTCGATTGAAGTAGGCCCGTTTCGGCCCGGCTCATTGGGCTTAGCCTGACCCGGCCTGATGGGCATTCTCAAGCCCGGCCCATGGGTCAGGCTTAGGCTTTGAATTTTCCAAAGAAACTCGACCCTACCCGACCTGACTCGATATTTTCTCTCTCCTCTTTAAAGCCCAACCCGACTCGGCTCAAACCCATTAAATTTGGGCCGGACTAGCATTGCCCAGCCCATTGATTAGCCCTACCCTCTTTGACTTAGGGTGGAATTTAAGCTATATGCCAACATCTCTTTAAGAAGGAACTAATCCTAATTGAATCGCAACATTTCTAATAATTCGGATTAAAACCTGAAAAAAAATTCGAGTATTCGGGTTGACCCGACTAAATTTACCCTTTTAAGTGACAAGAATTACCTCTCTTGTTGGCAACTCACCATAGAAAAAGAGAAAAAAGAGAGAGAGAACTTGTACACGTGGCGCTAGAGCAGATCTACCCAGTGTACCCAAAATCAGGAAGAAGACTGCTCGCATCTACCAAAACCCAAAGTGACAAATTAGCAAACAAAAACAGACTCTCCCCGTCCTCTGTGTCTGTGCTGCAAAGAGGAGGAAGAAGAAGAAGAAGAGCAATGGAGGACCAACAGAAACGCTGTCGTTTCCCACAATTCGTGCTCCAACCCCCACTCTGAGAGAGAGTTGGGCTTTCAGCTTTTGCTTCGTCAAGATCCACGAGGAAGAAGAATTGGAGTGAAAACAGAGCCAAATGTTGCCGCGCAGGTTATCCGTCATTTTTGGAGGCCTAGGTTACAACACGAACACTGTGACCAACGAGCTCTTGCCCACTCTCAAGGTCCAAACGGATAAGGAAGTCTACAGGCCCGGCGATCCCATTATCATCACCATAGAGATTTCGAACCCTAGCAGCAATGACGGTACGGCTTATTCGCTCTTGATCGAACGTCTGGGATTTGAGATTAAAGGGATTGAGAAGCTCGATTCCCAGTGGTTCGCCACGCAGAAACCCACGTCTGGATCTAAACAGAGAAGAGGTAGCCAAAAACAAAAAGAAGAACACATTGAATAATTTGGTTTCTGTTTCAGTGGTTTTGGAATTTATTTGTGTTTTCGTGTTTTTTTTTTGTTACACGAAACATGTAGGTGAATATGTGTTCATGGAATGCTCCACTCAAGCGCTGGTGACGAATCAGATTGTTTCCCCCGGGGCCAGGAAATCATGTGAGGAAAATTTATGGTTTGTAAGATTGTGAATATTGTTTTAGTGTAATTTAAGATGCTTTGTTAAGTAGTTTTGAGTCGTAGGTGTTAGGATTTACATGGAGAAAGTGTCAATCTTGAACAAGTTTAGTGTTTTTGTTGTTGTTAGAGTTTCTGACTATTTTCTAAATATGCCTCGTCTTTTGACGGCCAAATGCATTTCATTGATGAAACAATCAAATTTGCTTCTAATTGCTAAAGGATCAGTCTTTAGAATGGATAGTATACTGAGCTAGATGATGAAGAAGTGGGCCTTTCTTCCAAAATAGCACATTACATTCAACAATGTCACACCTCTCTTAGCCAAGAATTTAACCATGATGTTCAGAAATCATCCTCTATCTTAATCAACTGGAAACCTGGTCAAAGGATAAACCAAAGGTTCAAATTAGGCTTTTGCCTTTTGTTGTCAGATGAGTGCTAACATGAGCCTGATCTGTTGTTAAAAAATACGAGGAATCAATTCAGATGCATATTTTCTTTTTCATTCCAAGGAAGGATGGTGATGTCGAGCCTTTAGCCTGCCTATCTTAAGAAAGAGCTTTTGGTTTGGATTTGCTTTCAGTATCGACTCCAAATTTTCTTTCTGTTAATATTCAATGTTTTCTGCAGACGTGGTGCGGTCATTCCTGGCTAGCATTATACCACCATCATATAAAGGTGCTACCATTCGCTATATGTACTATGTTAGAAGTACAATGTCTGGCCAATGGCTGATACTGGAAAATGCTCATTCTCGTGGAGAATCAGTCAAAGATTTTCCTGAAATGGTTGGATTTCCTTAACTTTCTCTGATGGATGTTGACATGAAGTTTCTCCTTTGTGATGGATTTCTGCACTGCTCTAATTTAGATTATATTTTCTGCTTCTGATGCACCATAGTTTACTTATATTTTTCTCTGATTAACAAACTTTGTCCTTTAATAAACTTTCCACATGATGATGTTGATTGAGAAATGGGCTTGTTTGGTGTCCTTGTGTTACATCCTCTGAAGCATTCTTTGCTAAATTTGAATGGTAATTTTCGGGCTGTTCACTAATCAATTATAAGAATGGACTTTGGTTCAAAATATACCAAAGGCTTATATGTAGTTATCAGTATATGTGGGAATCATATACTTTTTTCTTTTCCTCCAATTTCTTTTAAGCTTATGTTTTTATAAATTTTCATCTTTTTGGTAAATATAACGAACTTGCTTATCCGTCGTTGTCATTATCAAACATGTGCAATCAGATGCTTGCACCATAAATACAAGTGTAGAGGTGCATATGTGTGTTTGAACTCCTGCTTAGGTAGATATTGGTAAAAGACCCTTGCCCTTACAGGCTAGCCTCTTTCTTTTTATATTTACTGATGTGTCCACATTTTGATTTCTGAACCCCATCAACTTTAATCATTCAGGAGGCTCGTGTTCCAGTACAAGTATGGGTCACTCAGAAAACCAGTGGCTTGGTGATGGAAGAAGGTCAAAGTGATGGTGAGTTTCCCTTTGGTCAATATAATTCAGATATACCATCTGGCTGCTAGTTTAGTGGTTTTGATCATAACTTAACAGGGATCATAACCAAATTGTAAAATCGCATGCATCAAGCTCTCAAAATTTATTGCATTTGAGGATTCTTGTGCATCTTATGAACAAAGCAGATCATTCATCAATAGCCTGTTTGCATCTTTTTTGTACTAATTGAAAAGATAGAGTGGAGCCATTACAATAAATTTTAGCTGTCAACTTGCTGATGGGCTAGAATCAATTTGAGAAAAAAGTGAATATTCCTGTGTTAAATTTAACTGTAGGTAAGATCTCCTTTGTTTGTGTAAGAGTAATTGGTTTGTGTGTTACACTATATGAATGCTGCAGTTCAAGTTCTACTGGGCGGCAGACATGTCCTTGAAAATTGCTCATATTTTCTTATAGTACATTTTTTCGTCTTTTTCAAGTAGTGATCGGCATACCTGTAAAGTGTAAACATACTTATGTTCTAAATTTAGTCTATTTTTTCAGTTTTTGCATCTTATAATTTTGAAGTATTTTCGTCTGTCTTAATTTCCAGTCATGTTAGATAATATTTTGAGACCAGCCAATTATATATTTTCAGGGATTGTTCCTTCTGCAACCATCCAAATGGATATGTATTGGAAAGAGATGGATGCAGACTCCGATTGGGTAGGCTCTTAATACCACAATATCTTTTTTCATTTATATGTTCCTGGGAATTCTGTTTCTTTCTTTTCAAGCATGCAGAGGCATTACAGAATTATTAAGCAATGTTTGTCTCTAGGAGTTTCAAAATAACGGACATGATCCATTTGATCCTTTATAAGGCAGAACTAATTCCTCTTACAGGTGAGAGCAAATGATACATATGATGGGGGGGTTGAGGAAGGCTATGAAAGCTCAAGGGATGAGATCTCATCTGTTTCTTCATACAATCCCATGAAAGAACATATAAACAGAACCTTTGGAAGTTCGCTATCCTTGCAATCAGCAAGGTCTTCGAATAAGGATAGCCCATATCTTGAAGGAGAGCGCACAAGTTTATCTTCAAATCTAGCACTCCCACAGCTCTCTGTGGCCGAAGTCTTATACGATACTGGCGCTGGTAAGTTATATGACCTAGAAAAAGCTTCAAGTCCTATATATTGAACTTCTCATCGTTCTCATTTCCAAAATAGTTCCTATGTCGTTTCACCCGTTGTGTTGAGTTATTATGATATTTTTGTTTTCTTATTTTGTTCAGTTACTATTGCAATTTCTTCAGAAATTCCTGTGAGAAGAACCTTGTTTTTCTATTTTCTTACGAGTTTCAGAAGATTATATTTCTAAGTCACAAGTTACTTTTGCAAACAGATCTTTCATTGCCCCTGAATTCATCTGCTATTGGCTCTCCAAGTCAGCAACCGAAACTTACAAAGCGGCTTTCTTTGGATGATGAAGCAAGGGCATCTTCTTCACCAGAATCTGGAGCTGTTGAAACATTAGCATGTAAATGAATGCACTTCTTTTCCTTCTTATACATCTCCAATGCTGTGATTTCTGTTTGTGTAGCAATAATTTTCGTGTCTCCATGAAAACTAATTTTCCGCAAATATTTTCTGCAGCAGAAGGCTTTAGTCGAGGGAGGTCATACAATATCCGGCTGGATGACCAAGTTCTGCTTAGATTTTCCCCAAAAAATTCTGATTCTAATTATTACTTCAGTGATATGGTAATTTAATTTCTCTATATATTGTCTTATGCCTGATTTGCATCATTATTCTTTTTCTGTTTGTTTGGGTTGTAAACTTTTCAACATCTCTCCATGAAATAGATTGGTGGGACTCTTACTTTCTTTCATGAAGAAGGAGCTAGAAGGTGCCTCGAGGTAGTTGAGATATCACAAGTAATTTTGAAATCATTTTCAGTGATCTGTGAAATGTATTCAGTTATCACTGCCTAATGGGAGGCTTTGTTTTTCAGGTTTCTATAACGTTGGAGACTTCGGAAACTATTAGTCGGCGATTTGTCCATCCTTCTCGGAAGAATTCCCCCACAATTACGAAGGTATGACCTTTTGATTTCAAACTGTCAGTCGAGTGATAAGTGCAGCAGATTGGTACCTAGAAATTATTACATCTTTCCAACCTCGATTCCAATATGTGTTTCTCAAAGTTTGAATAATAACGTAATGTTCTTGCCTTTACTGGTATTTGAATCCAAAAAATGAGGCTGTTTGAGCATGGTATGGGACACAAGATACTGATACATTGAAATGGAAAATGATAAAGAGGGCATATCAGTACTAATCGCTCACTTGGGTTTTTTTTAATATTATTTGTTATTGGAAATTAAAACCACCTCCAATTCGCTTAAATCAGTTTCCTCAAGAAACCTAAACCATAACTTCAGTGCAACTGGACAATGAAGGTATGCGGGTTCAGACATTATTAGGTCTACAAGGCTTTTGGCGGAAGTTACAAGGGCGAAGAGGTGTGGAGATGCCGAGTATTTGATCGTGTGTAGTACTTGGGAAGAAGAAGGGTTAAGCAGGGTTGGTTCTGATGTAGGTTAAACTTGAATAGAAGTTCCTGAGGTACCAAATGTCATTAGGAAGCCTTGGAGTTTTTGGATGCAATAGTGAAAGCTGGACTGTACCAAGGGGGGTGCTATTCTTTATTGCTTGTACTAATATAAGAAAAAAGGAAAAATAAACAAGAAACTAAGAAAATTCACATAAGAGGTGAGGAAAAAGAGTTTGGAAAGAAATTCCTGGTAATTCCATCCATATTTTCATAGCCTATTGATAGACTGTTGGTTCTCGTTTCCATAATAGAACTAGGTCTCCTAAATGAGGAAGGCAGGCAATGTGTAAGAAATAAAGCAATTACAAAAGCTTGTCTAATATACTTGGTTAGAAATTATTGCAAACCCACACATATTCACCGTGTAAAGTTTCCTCTCTGATTTTATAGAAGGATGTGTGAAACCATATAATGGGGTTGCTCTTGTTGCTTCTATGCATGTTTCTCTGTAAAACTCTGCCTGCTGCATCAATAAGCTTGTATTACTATTTATCAAATCATGTTCTAATCCCTGCCAATTCATCTATAAAATCACATCACTCTAATTTATTAACCTTTAATTTCTTCTAGAGTAATGAAGAATTTAATATGTGAACTGAGATGAATTTAATGTGACTGCAGATGATTTTTACTGGTGTACCCATTTTATTGATTTTGTTTTCTGCTTGGTTGACGGATTAAATTATCTTTTGTAGATTCAGAGTGATCATTATGAGGTCGTTTCAGATTTGGTGCAGACAAGTTTTCTTTTTTCCATTCCTATGGATGGGCCTATGTCTTTTACCACTCCTCATGTATCTGTACGATGGGTCCTTCGATTTGAATTTTTTACCACTCCGAAGAATGTGGATTGGACCAGGTATATAATTATATGCATCTTCTTAAAATGTAGCAAGAGGTTTCCATGTTAAGTTCAGGATTTGGAGTAAAATGTTCATAATTAGTTATGCAGTTCTTTACATGGTTTCCAGATTACCGGTTGTTTGAAACTAATTGAGAAACAAGGTTACAGAAAGTGTCAATCAGACATTGCTAATGAAACTTTCTGTATTTGCATCCGTTAAATGTAAGTGTACCAAAACATATGCTAACTCAGCTTTTCCCAAAATCCTAATTTTGACCTCAGGTACGAGCATCCTCTTCTGATAGAGCGAAGAGAAAAAAGTGAGTGGGTTCTCCCAATCACAGTGCACGCACCTCCGGCTGTGGGACCCACTGGTCATCCCCGAAATGAGAAGGCTCTCTTTGGAACCCTTGGGGGTGTATAATTGAAGGTAAATGAGTTATCTGAATTTTGAAGTAGCTTTGGAAAACCCTGATATATCATATAGCTCGATCAACATGAATATTGAATGATTGAATATATTACAAAACGGATTTTGTTATTACATCAATATTTTGCAATACATGACTCTGGAACCATCTGTCATCATCATCATCTCTCTCTCTCTCTCTCTCTCTCTCTCTCTCTCTCTAAAACGTGAAGGTTTTAGTTTTCTTTCACGTGATAATAACTGGTATCCGATATATATGATCACCTTTACGTTTTACAAGGTTTTTGCGTCACACAGGTTGACATATTGAGCCGTTTGAAATTCAAGCTACGTCCAAATTGTGGATCAAAACCTATTAGTCCAATTGGGGCCCTGGTGGCTCAGCTGACATCTTGTTCCTCTGGAAAAATGTCCGGTGAATGCTGATTTGAAAAGTTGAAGCACGCAACAAAGATTATGAAAGAGGGGAGTCTTAGATATGCTACACTCTGAATATATCATAGGCTTGTACACCATAATGTGTAGCATTGGCGATTTACATTTTGATTAATTTTATTGTTTACATTCTAAAGTTTCATTGAGTTGAAACGGGTTGTACATTCTTAAAGAGTACGCATTAATTCATTGAAATTAAAGAACAAAGAAAAATTTAAACATTTACAGAAGTCATACATCCTGTAAATGTTTAATTGAGTAATACTAAATTGAAATTAGCCGATGTGCTTCCAGATTCAACTCTTCAGAGATTCGGAGTTGGTTCCCCATGGACTCCTGTATTGAGCCCTAGCATGAGGTTGAACAACCTCATGGTATCAGCTAGATTCAGCTCCGATACGTGCCACTTCGAAGGAAATGGATTTTGCGTTTTTAGGTAGGACTTTCTAGAAACTCAGTGAAGAAAAAGAAAAAAAAAAAAGAGATTGCTATGAGTATATAACAAACTCTCGATGAAAGTACCAATTTGTGGGATACAAATTCCATAAGATATATGAACTCGTGACATTCGTGACCTGAATCCTTTGAACACTGGTGTGTGGTACAAGCTAAAAAAGTCTCCCGATCCTTTCTTTATCCGCTATTACAAAAGTCCGAACTTGATGATTTTACATCTTCGTTTACCGAAAATTCTAATATGCTCTAGAGTGGACATGGATTTTGGTTAGATTAATTCTAATTGGTTAGATTAATTGGTATTAATTTTGGTTAGATTAATTGTGTAATTGACATGGATTTTGTTCATATTTGATCTACAAAAAATTAAACCCAATTCCCTTCTCCTCTTCTTCTACCCGATTTAGCAGCCAAACCCCATCCAAAACCCTTAATTATTCCCTAATTTTTTAAATTGATATTGTTATTTTTTTCTTTTTTCTTTCTTTTCCTTCTTTCTTTTTTTATTTATTTTTTTATTTTATATAATTAAATGAGTCGATGTGGACAGCCAGAAAACATGGGTGTTGGGAACAAGGAATGAGATCCTAACATGCTTTCGTTATTCAAGGACGCTATTTTCCTTACCATTTAAATCAAGACATCCTTCAATATGAAAGGAAAAGCTGTCACGCCCCGAATTTTCAACAACAAATAATCTGCAAATTTAAACAGAACAACCAACAATCCGGGAAGCGAAGCTCGGAACCTTCAACAAAAGTACCTAGAAATTTAAACTTTTCTTTCTTGATACAACACCACTGTTCCGAACCACAATGTCAATAATGCCTCAACTCTTCTGAGTCAAATATTACATTACAAACTCACATAATAAATGAACAATCATTATATTACAAAATCTGCTCCTCAGAGTTCATTTCACACAGCGGAAGTCTAACACTCACCAACACTCTCACACCACACTTTGCACTCTGTGGAACCACTAACGAGCCTCCTGCTCCTCACCTTAAATGTCCTGCTCACGGTCTCTACCACCTGCAGGATTTTCCCCTACACTATTGAATAGTGCACCGGGTTCACCACAGAACAACCCGGTAAGCTTTCTAAAGCTTGTATGAGTAAACCATGTCCACAGTATAATATGTCAAATTACACATAATATACAAACACATGCACTTTCATTAGCACACAACAATCCTTGTATACCCAAGGTAATCATAATCATCAATATCATCACAATCACAATTCTTTTATTTTATTTAAAGAACTGTTTCGATCACCACCTGTGACCACACCAAAACTCTTTATTTCAAAGTAGTTTTAACACATCATTTATTTGACAGATAGAAGAGAGAATACTATGAACCTCTAATCTATAACACTACAAAACACCAAAGTAGTGTTCACTTATGATTACACTCCAGTCATGAGTACTAGATGGCACCACACTAGGGCCACGAGAATGCCCACCTGACAAACTCAGAAGAGATTCAAGGTATTTTCCCCTAAAATCCATCAACACCAAAACACCAACACCAAAACAATATAAACAAGCCATTTGTTTGACAGATAGAAGAGAGAATACTATGAACCTCTAATCTATAACACTACAAAACTTCAAAGTAGTGTCACTCATGATTACACTCCAGTCATGAGTACTAGATGGCACCACACTAGGGCCACGAGAATGCCCACCTGACAAACTCAGAAGAGATTCAAGGTATTTTCCCCTAAATCCATCAACACCAAAACACCAAAACACCAATACCAAAACAGAATAAAATGTCTTTTCACACTAACATTTTACAAAAGGAAACAAACAACATGTTAATTATAGCTATTAACATTAACCAATGTCACATTATAATAAATAATAATAATTCGTGACTTTACTCACGATTAGGATGGTTTTACTCACCTCTCGTCCAAGCTGCGTCTTCAACAACTTAACGAATCCTCAATCTCAAACCTCAACGAGCAACTCAAACTCCAACAGTACCTAAGCAAAGTACATAGCTCAACTTAGCACAAAACTCCAAAATCCAAGATTTCGCAACTAATGACGAAAATGCCCTTTGGACCAACCGGGGGTCCAAAGTGATCAAATCTCATCCCACCAACTCCAAAACTGTGATGTACGTGTTGTCGACGTCGAATCATGACCAATGACACCCATTGGCCAAAAGGTCACTATTTGGGTCCCGTGGGTCCCACATGTCTAACCGACACTCCAAAAATCCGCCTTGGGCCCACAACCTCGGATTCCAAATCCGATCGTACCAATGGACTCTAAATAGTCCCGACATCACCCTGCAACAATTTGGGCCCAATCCAATGGTCGGATTATTCTACATTACACGATCGAATGGCGATCGCTCGCGCCGCCACCGCCGGTGGTGGTTCGGGTACTATTCCGGCGACGGACCAACCCTAGAATCGCCGGTCAAGACCTATGCCAAAATGTTCGTAATACTGAGTAGAAGAAATTTAATTCTTACCTCGAGGTCCAATTCGAAGTGTAAGT